TAGCACTTAGGTAGCGGTTTTTACACTTTTCTATAACTATGAACCAATGTTTAAATAAAAATTTGGCAAGCCTGGGATGTAAAACCAATGAAACAGGAGAAGGGAAGGGTCAGGGGATTCTATAACACAAAAGCCTTAAGTTGGATCCTATGGAATTCTGTTTGGAAGCCAGGGAACTTGCGACTGGTGTGGTAAGGTACTTCCAGAGAGTACTCAGCTTGAAGCTTGTTTCTTGTTTGGGAGATCTGGTTAGGATTCCAGTTTGGCCACTGTAAGTAACAAAATCAGAATCACAATAACTTAAGCAAGGACATGATAGAAGGTAATATTTCACTGTCATGTAATAATTGGTCATAAGCAAGGGTGGGCGCAGTGGCTCACGCCTGTAATCCTAGCACTCTGGGAGGCCGAGGCTGGTGGATTGCTTGAGGTTAGGAGTTCGAAACCAGCCTAAGCAAGAGTGAGACCCCATCTCTACTAAAAATAGAAAGAAATTAACTGGCCAACTAATATATATAGGAAAAATTAGCTGGGCATGGTGGCGCATGCCTGTAGTCCCAGCTACTCAGGAGGCTGAGACAGAAGGATCACTTGAGCCCAGGAGTTTGAGGTTGCTGTGAGCTAGGCTGACGCCACGGCACTCACTCTAGCCTGGGCAACAGAGCGAGACTCTGTCTCAAAAAAAAAAAAAAAAATTGGTCATAAGCAGTCCAAGGCTGGGTGGCAAGTCCTAGGAGTTGGGGACCAAGGCTCCTCATAGGGTCTGCTCTGCTGTCCTCAGTGGACGTTCTCTGTCTTCCAGCAGCACAGCCACATTCCCGCCGGCGGGGCAGGGTGAAGAGGAACTGGAGGTGAGCCCATTCCCTCTAGAAGCATAGCCTAGAAGCTACACAATGCACTTCTGCTCACAGCCCATCGGCCATCATTTAGTCACATGGCGCTACCAGGGAGCCTGGGAAGTACAGTCTTTAGCTGGGCAGCCACATGCCCCAGTAAAACTTGAAAATTTCACTACTAAAGGAAGAAAACGAGAATGAGTATTTGGGGACAACTAGCAGACTGTGCCACAGGCAGTGGGACACCTAACCCTGGAAGATGCCGTCCAAATGCCTCGGCCTAGCATCGATTTAATCCACCATTTACTGGGCACTGATTCTGCACCAGACACTGTCCTGACCGTGAGACTCAAAACTAAACAACGCGCAGTTTCTTTCACCAGCCCTCTCCCTTGGAGTCTAGAACGGACACGCAGATTACTCAATGCCTAGGTTGGGGTACTTGGGGTTCCTGGGGCGGCTGGGAGTGGTCTGAGTTGGGGCACATGGGAGAGAGGTTGGCAGCGCTGGAAAGGTGAGTAGGTATTTACTAAGTAGCGGCCAGTGGTGTCCTCAGGACGCCAAAGCACCAGAAGCTTGGAGGAGTGAGCCAGGAGCACAGGTGAAGACTCGGCCAGGACCTGTTTTCCATGCTGAGGGCTTTGGACACCACCCTGTGGTGATGGGGCTGAATGGGGACGTGGGAGGAAGAACCATTAATGTCCCCACGTTCTGACCCCAGCTTGATTGTCTGGCCTTGTTGTGGTCACGACCCACACCCTGCTCTTCTGCCACTTTGTTCTCTGTGCTTTCCTGGTCTTTGCACCTTGCACCGTTGCTTAGGTTATGCTGTTCTTCAGCCTGGCTTGCCCTTGCTTCCCTCCGTCGTTTGCCAGCCCTGGTCCTACTCCTCCTCTAAGGCCAGTTGAGAGGTGTGGTCACTCTGAGCCATAGTGTTTCCCCACTGAGAACTCATTAGCTCTAGTCCACAATCTTGTGAGAGTGGTGGTATTATTCCCATTTTATAAATGGGGGAACTGATGCTTCAAGAGGGTAATTAATGTGCCCTTGGTCCCGTGGATAGAATAGGCAGCAGGGGTCCTGGTCTCCCAGGGCAGCCACTGTCAGATGCAGGGCAAAAGGGTCTTGCAGCAGGGAGGCCAGTGGAGGGTGGGGTCATGGGTGCGACAGGGAGAAAGGAGTACTCAGCTCAGGTGTAGAGATGCTTTTGACCCCCAAAATCAATGAAGTTAAATTATTGGACCAAAGTCATGGAGTGACAAACTGGGAGTCAAATCTAGGACTCTGAATCCCAAATTCTATTCTATTCTATTTTATTTTTTTGGAATTTAAAAATATAAAGAAAATTAGTTTAAACATAGATTGATAATCTTAGCTCTCTGAAATAACCACTATTAATATCCTGACATATTTACGTCTTTTAATAGTTTTTAAAGAAGAGCTACAACTTTTCCTAATAATAACATAAAATAATTCTGCTCAATGTAAATAAACTCCAAAGATGAGAATTTAAAAATTATTCCAAATCCTATCATTCAGAAATTCCTATTGCTTACACTAAGTGATAGTCATTTAAGGCATCTTTATATCTGTATAGAAAGATATAAACATAGGACACGCTTCTGCAAACAGTGATCGTATTCTTGTCCAGTGTGATAGCCACAAGCCACAAGTAGCTACTGCCCGACCACTTGAAATGTGGCAGATTTGAGTCAAGATGTGCCATAAGTGTAAAATACACTTGGAATTGGAAAACTTAATATGAAAAAAATGTAAATTATCTCAATATTTTTAAAACATTGATTACTTGTTAAACTGATAATATTTTGGATATATTTAGTTAAATATGTTATTAAAATTAATTCTACTTTTTTCTTTTTTCCTTTTTAATATGGCTACTAAACATTTTAAATTACATATGCTGCTTGCATATATTTCTGTTGAATGGCACTGCTCTAGTATTATAGTAAGTATTAATAAGCTTATTAACAAGTATTAATGGGAAAAAAGAAACTAAAGTGAATCTAAAGGAACTGTCAAGCTCTAAATAAATGGTTCCTCATCATTTCCTAAGTGTCCACTAAAATTTAAAAACATTATGGAATGATTTTTTTTTAAACCAAATGGTACACTGTTTTGAAAGATGAGGACATGGCTTTCTGGAGCTCCTCTCAATTTTTATTTTATTTTATTTTATTTTATTTTATTTTATTTTATTTTATTTATTTATTTATTTTTACTTGGACATTGACTTGGAATCAATTTTTGATCTATTATTATTTTTGCATTATATTGGTTTTCAACATTCATATTCTGACCTATAGCTATAATTCTTGTAGGTGTTTAGTATTCCGTAATTAGTGATCAGGCCTTTGCCCACATGTCCTTCATTCCTGAGTCTTGGGTTTCTTTGTTAGGTGGATTCTCAAGGAAGGCTCATGTTTCCGGGGGACGTTGCTTATTGCTTTCATACTTGACCGGTGTTCCGTCTCCCGGGGTTGCACTTTGTGTCCCTGTCCACTCCGCAGTCATTGCTTCGCTGTCTTCTGGCGCTGATTTTCTCTCTGTCTTGTGGGAGATTTGCTTTCTCTTCTTGGATGTCTAAAAGAGTTCTTGAGTTAGTAACTTAACTCAGCTCTGTGTTAGTGTTTCTCGGCTCCTCCCAGGGCTCTAGGTCTCATCTCTAAAAGGTTATTTTACTTTAGGCTTCCCAGCACACAGAGCACTGCTGAGACCCACAGATTCAGCAGTTTGGGGGCTGTCGGTCAGAAGCCATGGAAAAGGTTCCTGTTCTAGCTCTTGGCCTTTGGTGGGCCTACCACCCAGACTCTCAGTGGGGTCCTTGGTAATTATTTTTTGAATTCATTTAAAATTGCATATATAATAGGTAAATCTATTCTCCTTTCTAGGACCAGAATGTTAAAGCTAAAGTCCATTTGGCCACGAACCCCAGTTGAGGTCACCTCTCCTGTGACCCAGTGCTAGCTGCTATCATGGGTTTCAGATACATCCTTCTAAACTTTTAAAAACTGATTTTATATTTTAATACAATTATGTTCTGTCCCGTCACAGAAAAATAAACTTAGACCATGCTCAGGCCGGTGTATGAGTTATTTTGGATTTATTAAGAACAGTCTGGGTGTGTGGATTCCAAAGAACTGCTCCTGGAGTAAGCTTTTTATTATAATTAATGAGCCAACATGGACATCAACAAAGTTATGACAGGGTGTCGTGGCTCATACCTATAATCTTAGCACCCTGGGAGGGTGAGGTGGGAGGATCACTTAAGGTCAGGAGTTCGAGACCAGCCTGAACAGGAATGAGACCCTCCTCTCCACCAAAAATAGAAAGAATTAGCCAGGTGTGGTGGTGCACACCTGTAGTCCCATCTACTCAGGAGGCTGAGGCAGGAGGATCGCTTGAGCCCAGGAGTTTGAAATTGCAGTGTGCTATGATGGCACCACTGCACTCTACCCAGGGCAGCAGAGCCAGACTCTGTCTCAAACAAACAAACAAACAAACAAACAAACAAACAAACCAAAAACAAAGTTTTAAGTAATGTACTCTCAGGAATAAAAACTTCATGCAAACAATCCCAGATATTAGTCTGTATAGTTTTGACTTTTAGACAGAAACAGACTGTGCATACAGGTCATTTTGACACAAACTTGTTTTAAGAATCTGACTGTACAGACATTCTACCAGCTCATATCCGTGTACAAGGCCACAGAACACAGCCAGGCAGGAGATTTCACTGCATCATCTTGGGCAATACATAATATTGGGTTTTGTGTGAGTTCTATAGAGATCATACTGAATATATTATAAGACAACTTTGTCTTTTTTTTCTCCTGAACTTAAGCTTGTTCCATGTTAATATGTATCCATCTTTCTAGATCAAATAAACGTATGACAAAGGAATGATTGAATGGTTAAGCCAGCGCTGGTTTGAGTACCTACTACAGGAACATTATTCACAGACGAACAGAATTCACTACTCGATGGAGCCCACTTAGGTCCTGTCTAAGGTTATGAGGTTCCAGAAGGGCCTTGCTCGGGGCTTGGAGCTGGAGCCTTGGGGTATGGTGGTCCTGAGGTTCTCGAGGGGTTCGCACACACAGACCATTCCTTGCTCCCATTTAGCCTCTCACTTTGGTTTTGTAGATGACATGGCAGAACTTCTCCTCGGGGAGTCGAAGCTGGAGCAGTACCTGAAGGAACACCCCCTGAAGCAGGGGGTCAGTCCCCGAGGCCCCAGGCCCCAGCTGACTGAGGTCCGCAAGCATCTGACCGCCGCCCTGGACCGAGGGAACCTTAAGGTACTGGGGCCTCTGGGACGAAGTGGGGACAGAAGGGAGATGCTGGACCCATTTGCTTCGGCCGCTGTGTGGTTGAGAAGGATGCGCAGGGAGGAACTCAGCAACATTTGGAGCTCGTCTGTGCACTGTCATGGCGTGTCTTCTTAGAGCAGGCCGACCCCGTGCCATCAGTGGGTCAGCTCCTAGGCTGGCCGACCACCTCGTGGGGCTAGTAGGGTCCCACATCCTCCTGAACAGCAGCACTGATCTCCCCAGGTGCTCTACACAAAGCTGTCCTATGTCGCCTAGAGCTCAATCTGCCACTTTGTCCTGCTCTGGAAAAGAGAGAAGTTAATCAGGAGCTTACACACAATTTCCTGCCTAAGTCATATGGTGCATCAGTGTAAGATTCCACTGTGGCCCAGAGCTGTGGGGCTTTCATACTGGTTCCTGGGAACCAGGAACTTCCGTGTGTCTGAACAAGGACACTAATCCCTGTGGCGCAGGGAATCTTAGGCTCTGCCCCACTGTTTGTCCACTCTGTTTTCTAGTCTCCACTACGGTCAGGTTTCCTGTCCCTCACCTGCCCTTCCTTTCTTGCTTCTTGGGAATCCACTTTCAGTTCCTTGTGCCTTTCACAAGGGCCATCCCTCCTCTGCCTGCCCTGCCCCGCCCTGCCGGCTGGCTCACCCTTCCTGGCTCTGGACCCTTCCCCACCCCTGCCACCGTCACGCCCGTTCAGATAGCTGCCCGCACCCCGGCACTGCCCCTCTACTTTAGGGCCCTTTTCTCCCCACAGGACGTACTTCCCACTGAGGACAGTCTTTGGTGAACTTTTGAAGCTCTGACTTCCTTTTCCTTTCAATCTTTTATTTTTCTTCTCTTGTCTCAGAATCCTCTGGGCTACGTCTTTGGTCTTTATTCTTATCTGCTTGTGCACATTTTCCCCAGAGAAGCCGTGTTTGCTTTGGCTTTACCTTTCGTATCTGTGTTAGACACTCGAGCCTGCTCCCAACTTGCTGTGTGATCCTGGGGAGGTCACGTCCCTGTCTGGGACTCAGTTTCTTTGGGTTTGGATGGGGTGGGTTTTTGGAGGGGTGAGCATGGACCTTCCCAGCTCGGGCATGCCCTAAGCCTGTGAGCTCGTGAGCCTTCATTCTGAGATGTTCTTCCTCTTTGTCCTCTGGCCGAGTCCTTGGCCCTGTTGCAGTTGAGGACTTGGGCAAGATTTGAATCAGTTAGTATCAGTGTCCATCAGTTGTGTAGCAACAGGCTGCCAGAAACCTGTTAGAGGGCCACCTTTCAGAATGGTCTCTGTGCGTGTGTGTCTGCACGGGACACGGGCCCAGGCCCTGGGAGGCTGGCTCGAGAGCATCTTAAGGCCCAGGTCCTTAAGAACTTGCTGCTGCATTTGGGCTTCAAAAACCAGATCTTCTCTAAGGTCCATGGCCCATTTGGTTCCGAGTTAGAGAACAAGTGTCTCCATGTCAACTGTTCTTAGCCAAGGAGGATCTGGTGACACAGGTGGTGGGTCTTCATCAGTAGGAAAAAGTGGACAGACAGGCACGTGGGTCACAGTGACGGCCAGTCAGACTCGGGCATCCTGCTGGGAGATGTGAGGCTGACTGCGTGTCAGCGGGAGACATCTAGATCATTTCTTTCCCACTTCCAGCTCCCCCAAATGAAATTAGCCTTTCATTTCACCAGGTGCTTAGGGTTTTCGCTGTCTGTCGCCTACAGCCCAGTGTGGTAGTAAGCACTCTGAACTGTAAATTAAAATTCTGGAGTCTGAGTCTCAGTTTTGGATTAATAAGCTGTGTGATCTTGGGAAGTTAATCTCTGTGAGCTTCGTGTTTCTCAACTATAGGCCCACTTAGCTCAGGATTGTTCTAAGGCCCAAATGTGGAATTTCTTTCAAGGATGTGTAGCGCTAGAGACATGTCATTTACTGATGTTTGATTGGTTCCATCTGGAGAGTTTTGCTCCCATTGCTGGTTTTCAGCCGCCTCTATTTTGTAAAGAGTGTTCGAAGGTTGCACAGCTTTTGCACGGGTGTGTTGCTTCACGCACCCTCCCTGGCTAATGTGAAACTTCCTGTTTCCTGGACCTCAGGTCTAGCTTGTCTCTGGTGAGTTGACCCTAGAAAGACCAGGGTCAGCTACAGTGTAGTGCCATACAGAGCGCCCTGGACCGAGAGACCTGCCTTCTGACTCGGGGCAAGAAAAGGGAGTTTGTCATGAGCAAGGCAGCCCCTGGACCACGCTGGGGCTGTCCTCCCACTACCCGGGCAGCCCAGTGGCCTTGGCCAACCTGTTTCCTCTGCTGTAAGATGCCGCAGATTGGACTTGCCCAGCAACGCTCTCCAAAAGGTGGCCATAGGCTTGTAATTTTCTTCAAGCTTATTTTCTACCTGGCCCTTAAGTTTGCCTTTTTATTAAACTTATTTTCTTGTGATAAAATATATATAACATAAAATTTAACATTATCACCATTTTTAAGTGTACAGTATAGTAGCATTAAGTACATTCACATTGTTGTGCAGCCATGTCACCACCTTCCCTTTCCAGAACTTTCTTCAAATTCCCACACTGAAACTTTGTGCTGCGCCCATCAACACCAACTCCCCATCCCCCCTTCCCAGGCTGCTTTCAAGCCAGTGGTTCTCAGGGGCTGGAGGGCTCGGGGAAGGAGAGAAAACCTTGTAGAATCTCCTAGGACACCTTTTCAAAATGACCCCTGTGTTGAGTGCCTTTTTTTTTTTTTTTTTTTTTTTTTTTTAGAGTCTCGCTTTGTTGCCCAGGCTAGAGTGAGTGCTGTGGCGTCAGCCTAGCTCACAGCAACCTCAAACTCCTGGGCTCGAGTGATCCTTCTGCCTCAGCCTCCCGGGTAGCTGGGACTACAGGCATGCGCCACCATGCCCGGCTAATTTTTTATATATATATATATATCAGTTGGCCAATTAATTTCTTTCTATTTATAGTAGAGACGGGGTCTCGCTCTTGCTCAGGCTGGTTTTGAACTCCTGACCTTGAGCAATCCGCCCGCCTCGGCCTCCCAAGAGCTAGGATTACAGGCGTGAGCCACATTTTTTTTTTTTTTTTTTTTTTTTTTTTTAATAGCTCTTTTTCTCTTTTCTTAAATCTGCTTTGATTCTCTGTCTGCAAATGTAATCCAAATTTCTTGCATGGGTGCTTCTCCCTTGGGCTGATCATAAACACTCTGTGCCCATCCTGCCATCCCCTGCAGTGCTGCCTGTCGTCCCTGCTCCCTTCCGAGAAATGCCTGGAAACCGAACAGCTGCTTCCACGTGCTCCGCCTGGTCACCTGTGCCTTGTTGCCCAGCCCATCAAAGCTGTAGGTTACAGAATAAATAGTGCAGCTTCACGGTGTGCTTCTGTGAGCTGAAAAATGGAGCCTTGAATAGCCTGGGCTCCGAGGAGAAGGGCCGGGTGAGGGTGATAAATCTGTTTCCTTATATAGGTGGCTGGGCTGCCTCTTCTTATTGCAGGTGATGAGGAGTTGGGGAGGGAAAGGAGAAGATGAGGCGGGGATGGGGGTTGTGGACCGGGAGAAAGGGGAGCCTGTCAGAGCTGTTACAGCCCTCAGCTTCTGGGGAGGGGAACTGGGCTTGGTCACTTCAGTTTATCAAGCTTCACTGAAGGGCTCAATGAGAAAAGTTTGCCCCAGAAGAAAGCAAGTCCTGATTTTTGCACCTATTTAGGAAGCCTCTCCTTGGATTATTTGGGTTTCAGTCTTGTGGTGCATCTCTAGGGCCATGGCAGGACCCACCAGGATGTCTGGGCAGCTTCCTTTTCTGAGACAGGTGCTTAAATTTAACTCCTGAAGCATTCCTTCTGTCCTTGGCCCAGCCCAGTGCAGAGACCTGCAGAGAGCTGCAGGGTTTATGTTTCGTTTGGGTTTTTGGCAACAGCTTTATCAAAATATAATTCACGTACCATATAATTTACCCAAAGTATCCAATTCAGTGATTTTTGGCATATTCATGAAATCGTGCAACCATCACCACAATCAATTCTAGAACGTTTTTATCACCCCCAAAAGCAACCCCGTAACCATTAGCAGCCACCTCCCACTCCCCCATTCCTCCAGCCCTAGGCAAACACTAATCTATTTTCTGACTATAGATTTGACTATTCTCAATGTTTCGGAATCACACAATATGTGGCCTTTTATGTCTGACTTTTTCTCTTGCCGTAACGTTTTGGGATTCATCCATGTATCAGTACTTCCTTCTTTATGATGACAGAGTTCATATTCCATTTTATGGCTAGCTCACATTTTGATGGACACCTAGGTTGCTTCCACCTTTTGGCTGTCGTGAGTGATACTGTGCTGTGAACATTCGCGGACAAGTCTCTGTGGGGGGGGGCTGGCCCGAGGGAGCGTCATGTACAATATTATAGGAAAATGGCCTTTTCTCTCCTTTTCCTTCTAGTCAGAATTCCTACAAGAATCCAATCTGATCATGGCCAAGTTGAATTATGTGGAAGGAGATTATAAAGAAGCTCTGAACATTTATGCCCGGGTGGGCCTCGATGACTTGCCGCTGACGTCCTCCCCGCCGTACAGGCTGCGCGTGATTGCAGAAGCCTACGCTACCAAAGGTGAGGTCCGTGCTTTTCCCCTCAGTGTCGTGCTCTTTGGGGCCAGCAGAGCCTCCTGCTCGACCCCTGGCCCTTGGCAGTTCCCGGTGAGGGGCTGGGGTGGGCCCCGCTGCACCCACTGGGTGACGTTAGGCCCAGCAACACATGGTGTCCTCAGGGCCTCAGGCCTTTGATTATCACCGAAGCAAATGAAGGAAAAACATTTCAGTAAAGTTTCTTGATAATCAACATGCAACTTAAGCAGGGACTTTTCTTCCTAATTATGATACTGCACAGCATAGAGGGGATTCATATCTGATAGTCACTTGGCCACGTGGCCAACAGTGTTTTTATTCATTAATGCCATCTAGGTTGATTGAGGCTTCTTGGTTGATATGTAGTGATCATAGTAGCAGTCAGCCCTCCAGTGGTTACCTGTGCACCTGTTCAGGGGGTGGAGGAAAGCGTAAATATCATCTCCACTGCCATGGGGGAGTTTGTATGCTAGGTAAGAGAATCAGTCCCATGGAACAACAAATGACGGACGGGCAGGAACACGGATTATTTGACCTTTCCAGCCTGCCACTCTCTCCTCTGTAATGGGCATGATCATACCCACTTCATGGAGTCATTATGAGGAGTAAGTCAAATAATATATGTAAAGCACTTAACAGAGTGCCTGCCACATACTAAATGCTTAATAAATGATGTTTTAAAATGTCAACCCCAAACAAGGCAGCAACAGTTAAAATCCAGGGATAGGTAACACCTTTTCCTAGATAGGAGAGGTCACTGTAGGCCAGCAGGGCCAGGAAGCCTTCCTAGAGGAGGAGGAACACTTTGAACAGGACTTCCCGAGGCCACAGCAGAAGTGGACAGTCTGAAGCAGCTCCCGTCCATCCTGCCACCTGCTGTCCAAGCCATGCAATGTGACTGACTGTGGCTGGCACAGAGGCCAGGGCTTGGGGACTTGACCGTCCAGAGCAGCACTAAGCTGGCCATTTCTGTGCTGCCAGAACTCTGCGGCTGATATGTGGGGACTGCAGGTGGCCCAGTCTGTCTGCCTCGGTTGTCTTGTGCAGCGTGGAACAAAGACCCGTCTCGAGGCATACTTCTTAAGAGCTTTTTGATGGGAATGATGGGTTCTCCCAGTTCCCTGGGGAGCTTCGAGTACTGCCAGGCTCCTCTAATTAATCTTCTAAACATCCCTGTGGGCCAGGAAAAAATGCCATTGCTCTCGACAGGGCACTCCAGCAGTTTCATGGGCATGCTCCTTTGAGGCTGCCTCTGGGGTCCGGGAGCATCTGACTTTTGTTTGCATCTGTCTAAACTGTTGAGTGTGCTGCGGTCTGTGCCACACAGCTGTCCTCTTCTCTCCCTGGTGCTCATTCTGCCACCTCACATGCCTTAGGCTTCTGGGAGCCGTGTATGTGGTGGTGGTGGGGTGGTAGGAACAATATTCTGGAATGAGAGCAATGCTTCATCTGGCAATTTCCAGTCACCCAACTGGCCTGGGGCCTGGTGGGCTGTAGCCAGGAGTTGGCTCCTAGTTGGGAGTGGGAGGCGGCTCTGGGGCCTGCTTAGCTCCCAGAGCTCAGGTCTCAGAATTGGCTCTGAGATAGTATAATGGGGGTAGACTGTCTGCAGTGGTACTGCCAGCTCAGTCTTGTGGCTGCCATGAGAGGCAGGCAATGAGGACAGGAGACTTGGTCCCTGAGTCTGGCCCTGGGTGATGTGTGGCCAGTGGTGGGACCCAACCATGAGGTTGCAGCTCTTGGTTCACCTGCTGGCTTGTGAGAGACCTAGGTCTGGCTAGTTTCTGACTGCTGTGGCTACATGTAGAGTCATATGTGTATAGGGAGAGGGAAGGGTCACTTTTTCTTGGAGGAAGTGGCTGCCAGCCCAGGGGGACCCAGGCCCACAAGAGCTTGGTGGTCCCAGTGAGAGGCAATGTAGAGTGGTGGTTGTGAATGTCAACCCTGAACCGGCTGCCCGGGTCCCACCCACCCGGGGTCTGACCTTGTGCAAGTTCCTGAGCCTCTCTGTGTCTCATTGGATTGTCATTAAGGATTACACGGGATAGTGTATGTCAAATGCTTTGATCAGTGCCCGGCTCCTAGTGGGCATGATGTAAATGTTAGCTGAAGAGATAAGTGTTGGGTGGGGAGCAGGATACTAGGAGTGACTTGCGCTGACAGAGAGAAATTATGAGCCCAATTCATGGGGATGCCCAGAGATAGGCCAGTTCTCTGAGGAGTTCAGGAGGCCCTGGGTTCTATCTCTGTGTGGAATATTCTTGGTTCTTTCTTCATGAAGGTCTTTGAGAATTTTCGAGGGGCTACTGCTGACAAGGGATTCCGTGAATGTGGTGTATGAAGCAGCCTTAAATCAGAAGCACAGCGTCTGCACCGCTGGCCTGCAGGCTGCCAAGACAGGGCTTGTGTAGTCGGCTTAGCGTTTCCAGCCCTTTTGAGTTAGTTGCTAACATTTTAAAATCTGGACCATCCAGTTAAATATTTGGCTTTCTGCCTTCTTTAGTAAGAAGGAAAGCGCTATCCCTTCATCCTCCCCCCAGGGCAAGACCAGGCAGGAGCTGAGCAGCAGCTGCCCCCGCCCCCAGGTAGGCAAGCAGGCAGGCCACGTCCCTCCCTGTGCTACCTGCGCAGGGCTACAGGCAGCAGGATGACCTGCACACTCTCTTAGGTCACCCTTCCTTTTCCCTGGTGACCTGAGGTCTGAGTAAACCAGGGTTTTCAGCCAGAGCCCCTCTCTGGCCAGGTAATGCTAGCCTTCACTTACTGGGAGTCGGAAGCATCACTCAGTGGGGCCAGCACCGTGTGGGGGGCTTTACTGTCTCTTTAACCCTCCAAAGCTGTAGTTCACAGAAGAGAGAGATGAGAGCAGTGTGGTTACTAGGAGTGATAGCAGTGGCTAAGGTGTCCTGAGAGATCCCTGTGTGCCAGGCGCTGTGCCCTTCATCTGCATCTCATTCATTCTTCACCACCACCTATGGGGTAAGCACCTTCATTCTTTCCATTTTACAGACAAGAACCTGGGACACAGGGAGGTTAGGGAAGCCTGCCCTGGGTCCTGCAGCCGGGAAGCAGTTGGCCCAGGACCTGATCTCAGAGCCTGGTTCCATAGCCCCACTCTCCTGAGTGGCAGAAAGGGACTCAGTCTGAAGCCACGTTCTTAATCACTCTGCTCTGTTGGCACATGGACTGGAGCTAGCTTGGGCCAGGTGACGTTTCCTCAGGCAGAAGACATTCAGGTCATTAGAGAATACCCTAGATGTGTACCTGCCCCCTCTTCTCAGCCCCACCTGCCAGTTCCTCTGCCTTAACTCCTCAGCGTGGCCTAGGTTTCCTCCTGTTAGTTCTGTCCTTCAAGCTCACATGTCCTGTCTTCTCTGAAGCCCTCTGGGACTCACCCATTCAGAGTCTGTCATATTTGATGCTGTCATAGCACAGGAGATTAGAATTATATGAGAAACATATCAGGATGATCATGTGGCCCCTGCCAGTCTGTGAGTTCCTCTAAAGGAAGAATTCTGCTTTGCTCATTTGCCATCCTCAGGGCTTTGCACAGTGTTTGGCACAGAATTGCTCAGTCATTGAATGACATTTGTAAAGGTTCCCTTGTTTGGATTTCTACCCAGATGTCCATCATGTAATTCAGAGGAATCCGGGTGCCTTGGCTCCTAGCCTGCCATGGTCAGGTGTGTTTTCTTTGCCTGTAGGTAACATACTGAGCATTCTATGATGGTTCATTGCCCTTCCCTGCCTAGTCATGGGGGAGTACCTGTAAGAGCTGCATTTCAGAGCCATGGACCTCTTTCCCAAAGGTTGTACATTTCAGCTCATTTCTCTTACCTGGGAGCTCCAAAGTCGATCTCAACTCCTCCTCCCCACCTTTCCTCCTATCTCTTAAATCTAAGTAGAGAAACAGAGAACGGGAGTAGAAGAATAGAAGCTCTTTAGCTGCTGGTAGCACTGGGTTAATCAAGCGAATAGAGGAATTTGATCTGGGATACAGATTAAGGAATTCTCAGGGATACTGAGTGGCCACCAACGTTCTTCTCTCAAAGAGGGAGGCAGGGAACAGTAGAAAGATGGCTACTGTCTACGTTGGGACTTAGGTCTGCTGGACACGAGGATAACTGTCTGCATCTAGGACAGCAGGAGCTGGAAGTGGTTAGAGATGGCCTTTATAAATAGCCTGGGCTGTACCTTGCTATAATAAAGGGATCAAAAATACATCAGCTCCAATGTGAGCAAGTCCTGTAACAGTCCAACTGGTCAAGGCTGGTGGGGCATCTCTGCTCACCCTGAAGTCACTGTTCCTCCACCGTCCGTCAGGGAGCCGTCCTCAAATCTGTGTGATTGAAGCTGGGTTGCTGGCATGTTGCAGCTCACGGAAAGGGGACAAGAGAGTGATGTCTAGTGTGAGTAGAAGTAACACACATCAGTTCTGCTAACAGTCCATCAGTGAGAAGTTACTCATAGGACCAAAGCCACCAGGCACCTGGGGAAAAGAAGAGAGGAGGTTGCAGGGCACGTAAACCTCTGATTACACCTGTCCATGGGAACGAGGTCTCTGACACAGGTGGAACCTGTTAGAGGGTGCAAGGCGAGAAGTAGCCTGCACTCAGGGCAAAGGAAAGGGGCGTTCAGGACTGAGGCTTGTGGAGATTAGTGTCCCGGAGGAGGGAAATTATGACCCTGGAAACAGCAGGTGGAGTTAACTTCTTTTCCAGAATGCACCGGTACCAAAGCAGAGAGGGACTGGCTCCAGAGAGTGAATGGGGCTTTCACAGTCATCTTCCATGCAAATGTGCCATTTTCCGGTGGGGACACTGTGCCAGGGAGGGGAGGGGACTTGCCCCGTGTCACACAATGGACCCAGGGCGGGGCCAGGACAGGAGATGGTTCTTGGTGGGAAACTTTTCTGTCGAGCTGTGTGACCTCTGTGCCCAGGTGAGGGCACCATGCAGGGGGCTTTATGGAACCTCCTCTGTCTTC